TTTTGAGGCCCATCCAGCCTCGAACACCAGGGATCCCTAGCAGCCATCTCCGGGCCTGCTCCCCAGTCCCGTAGGCCCCGGCACACCCGGCTCCGGCCGAGGACTCCAGACTGGGCAGGAATAGGCCCAGGGCGCCAGGAAGCGACCGTGGCCGCAGGGCGTCAGCCCCTCCCGCCCGTCGGGCCGTCGCCCTGGGCCGGGCCGCCTCACCTCACGCGGACGGCGGGGTCTTCGGCGTCTCGGCGGCTGTGCCGACCCTCTCCGGACCGCGGACAGGGTCGCCGCCGCCGCCACCGCCACCGCCACCGCCGCCGCCGCCGCCATCCTCAGGCGTCAGCGTGGTGACGTCATCACAGCGCGCACTTTATGCCAAAACAAACCCAGGCCGCCCTTGAGGCAAGTAGCTGGGAGGACCTCCGGAGAGACTGGCTACGCGTTTAATCGCGGCTCCGAGCGTGGCCTGCCAATCAACGCCTTCGGGGCGGGAACTTACTCTCTCCCTTGGGTGAGTCTAAGTAACCCTCAAAGTACCCCCACCGTAGGCACGGGAAGGGACCTTCCTACCGGGGAGGTAGGAAGAAACTGTCAAATTTCTGGTTAGGGCAGAAGGACGCCCTGTAGTGCAAAGTTGGGGACGTAGTGCGTTTTCAACAGAAGTTTTTGGAAGTGCCTCCGCAAAGGGTCGATTTAAATTTCATTAGCAAATCACTTTTTTTAACTGCAATTAAAATAATTGAGGCCCTCAGCAGTGTTAAATTTGGCCTGCATCACAGTAGAGTTGCAGATGGTTAACTTGAGGATCAATGAAGGTGAAGTTAGTCTTGGGCTAACATCGGAGTAACGGTGTTTTGTTTTAAACTAATTTTGTTTTGTTTTAATTTGTTATTGAATTTAAGTGTATTCTGAGACTGCAAATCAAGTAGATTAAAAAAAATTGTTACCATTAAGACATCTCTAGATCAGAATTATCTCACTACTTTACAATAAACCCAAATTGCAGGGGGGGGAGTAAATGCCGGAGGTAATAAGAGCATTGTAACCTCCTTCCATCTACCTCATTTCTGTCGGTTCATTTGTTAAAATATTATTTACTTCATACATGAAATTATCTTTAATTGACTTATAAGCCAACGTTACACTTTAAACCTAAAAATAAATTAAAAGCAATAAAACATCATGGTCTGTTTCATGTAGCAGAGTTTCATAAAAAAATTTATTTAAAAAAAACACCTTTGGGAGGTGGGGGGGCAGAGTAACCGGGTGATGGGCATTAAGGAGGGCACATGATGTGACGAGCACTGGGTGTTATACGCAACTGATGAATTGTTGAACACTACATCTGAAACTAATGATGTACTGTGTGTTGGTTAATTGAATTTAAATTTTAAAATATTAAGAATTAAAAAACACCTTTAAAAATCGTTGCTGCCCCACCCCCCCCCAAAAAAAAGTCACTTCCAAAAGTCTAGTGATTAAGGGCATGACTTTGGGGTCAAACAAACCTGGGATCATATCCCAAGCTCTGACACTTTCACAGCTGTGTAACCTTAGGCAAGACATCTCTTCTCCTCAAGCCTCATTTTTCTTATGTTTTATGGGGATCATAATCCTGACCCCACAGAATTGTTGTGAAGGTTAAAAGTAATATGGAATTCTAGGGTTGGTGGGGCTTAGAAATTCACACACAACACCCCAATTTTACAGACATTCAGCAAATTAATCCAACAAGTATTTATTGAGCCCTTGCTACTGGCAGATGCTGGTCTGGACTCTGGCAAAGAACACAGGGTCCTGAGATGAAGAGGTATGTCGATGCAGAGGGACTGGGTTCAGGACATTCATCCCCCAGTCTCTCCCCTGAGCAATAAGCTATTCCATGTCCACAGAGCTGTAAATGTGAGACACACCCTCACCATTATGCTCTGGCCTGGGCAGATGTGTCCAGGGCCCAGTCTGGCTATCAGCCCACCCCTCTCCTCCAGCTCTGCGATAAAAGATACAAAGCTCTTAAGCCCCTGGCCAGAAAGCAGATTCTGTCCCCACCCCCATGCACACACGCCAGGTCGATCAATTCCAGGGAAGAGCAGGGACTTAGGGAGCAAAAACCAGGGTAAAGTAGGTCACAGCAGGAGGATGGTAATTCCCCCTGATGGCTGGCCAAAGCAGTTGAGCCCCTGCTCCTGGAAGCAGACTGCTCCTGGCCACCCACCAAGAGGGGCTGTGAGAAGACTTTTGGGGTCTGGATTCCCAGCATCATCCTTCCCAAAGGATGCCCAAGCTAGGTAAGGGGGCTGCCCCAAATGACACATCCTCCATCCTGAGGTCATTCTCAATCCAAGCTCTTACTGACTATAACACGTTCTTTTTTTTTTAAGATTTTATTTATTTATTTGAGAGAGAGAATGAGATAGAGAGAGCATGAGAGGGGGGAGGGTCCGAGGGAGAAGCAGACTCACTGCTGAGCAGGGAGCCCGATGCGGGACTCGATGCCCAGACTCCAGGATCATGACGTGAGCCGAAGGCAGACGTTTAACCAACTGAGCCACCCAGGCACCCTGTTGACTATAACACTTTCTATGCTGGGCTTAGAGTTTCTGTCTTTGAGTCCACACACTTCCACAAGTGTACTCTTTATACCCAGCCCTAAGTTGTGTGCTAGAGACATAAAGAGGACGTGTTATAGAGTGGAGAATTCCGACCTGGACCCAGACAGTAGTAAGCCAGTGTTATCAGTACTAAGAAGACAACTGGGGAGCTGTGTGGACCTGTAGGAGGCTTCTGATTCAGGTTTGGAGTCAGGATTAGGAAGGAAGTGATACCGAGCAAGAAAAGGAGTTCACCAGGAGGATATGGAGAAGGGCATTCTGAGTACAGAGAATAAATGTACCAAGACCCAAAGAGGGGAGGGGCTGGGTAGTCAGTTGGTTAAGTGTCTGCCTTCCACTCAGGTCTGATACCGGAGTCCTGGGATCGAGCCCCGCGTCCGTTGGGCTCCCTGCTCAGCAGAGCCTGCTTCTCCCTCTCCCTCTGCTGCTCCCCCTGCTTGTGTGCTGTCAAATAAATAAATAAAATCTAAAAAAAAAAAAAAAAAAAAAAAGACCCAAAGGGATAAAATCCTGGCCTTTCCTTTTGGAAAATTCTGGTGGTCAAAGTGGGGCAGATGTGGGAGAGATTTTCTCCTGAACTTTCTCCTTTAGGTGATGTGAGAAGATGGGTAATGACTGGTTGGAAGGGGCACCTGGGTGGCTCAGTCGTTAAGCGTCTGCCTTCGGCTCAGGTCATGATCCCGGGGTCCTGGGATCGAGCCCTGCATCGGGCTCCCTGCTCCGCGGGAAGCCTGCTTCTCCCTCTCCCACTCCCCCTGCTTGTGTTCCCTCTCTCGCTGTGTCTCTCTCTGTCAAATAAATAAATAAACTCTTTAAAAAAATAAATAAACCCAGATCTTAAAAAAAAAATGACTGGTTGGGAGAAGTGGAGATAAAAGTACAGGTGAATGAAGCAGAGGAACAAAGGTAGGGCAGAGAGAGTTGACTGACGTATCTGAGCTAACTAGAATGGGATGGTGTTTGAGAAGAATGGATGAAGTAGGGCTCCTAATACACGAGGATGGAGGTCTCTGGAGGCACCTGTCACGCTGGAGCCAAACAAGGGTTCAATTAGGCCTGGTTCTGTCCTGGAGGCAGTAGCCCCCCAGCATGGGGGGCTTTAGTGTAAACCTAGTCTGCTAAGCTCTAGATTCCTACCCTGATTCCTTTGGGCTCCTCTTGTAAAGCCCTCTCCAACTCAGCCCCATCTCTCCTCTACCACCTGTAAGTCTCACACCCTGACCTCCTCTATCACCCCCCATCACATGCCTTCCCTGAGGCCTCCCCTGATGCCAAGGACTGAGTAGGTAGATTCCTGCTCCACGCTCAGACAGGAGTCGCAGGAGTGGACAGAATCAACTGTGGGCAGAACTGGCTTATGCAGGGACTCATAGACAATGAAAAGGGGCTTTAACATCGGAATCAGTTCTAAATTTTAAAAAAGTGGGGGGCATAAAGCAGAGGGAATGAGAGCAGAAGTCAGTGAGGCCATGGCACTGCCCACACAAGTCATGGGGTGGTAGCTTGGAGTAAGGTCCTAGAGGTGGTGGTGGAGGACTGATTGAGAGAAGGTTTCACCCTCTCTGAGGACTCCTCCTTCCCTCAGGATTCTGCCCATGCAGATTCTTGCTCTTCTCCGCCAGGATGAACAGGGTTTCCTCACACACCACATACTCATTCCATGCTTCCAGAAAGTCTTCTGGGATTATCGACTTCACACTGCATACCTCTTCTCAAAGAACAAGGTACAGCAGAGGCCAGAGGAATCCTCATCAGGACCCCAGTTTCTGCAGCTCCAGGTCACCTCAGGGACTTGAATATAGACCCCAATATGGACTCCCCACCTTCGGGAACAGGTTCCCCTCAGGTAGACCAGGACCCCGGAGAGGGAGAGGAAAGAGCACTTAATTGTCTTGAAGGCCAAGATGGTAGTTAGCAGAGATGGTAGGAACGTGGAGGCCAGAACGAACCTGGGGATGGGGGTGAACTGGCTCAAGGGGGATGGGGGCGGGGTGGGACACTTCACCCCCTCACATGCCCATAGGGGCCAGAATAGGAGGGGCAGGCAGGAGGTAGAAATGCCAGCCCAGGAGAACAGAGGAAGGCTGTGCATTCCGGAAGATTTCGGGTCACCACCAGAGCTCCTGGAACCTGCACACAATGGAAAACTGCCCAGCCAGCCCTGGGAAATGAGTGTCTGTAAGTAGAAAGATTGAGTCCCCTGTGGTGGCCATGGGTCCCGCCTATCCATCCCTGGGGATCAGCTTCTGGAGGCTCCGCCCCAAGCAAGCGGGGCTGGCTGTGGCCAGAAGAAAGGAAGGAGCTTAGTACAAACATAAATACCTTTAATGAAAGCCAAGGGCACTCTGCAGATCCCCAGTAGGAGGCCGGGGTGCTGCTACTCCACCAGACTGGCTAGGCCAGAGGCCCCAGGAGGCAGGCGAGCGCCAGAGCAGCCGCCAGCAGCGGGGGTGTTGGGGCGGGGGTGGGTGCAGATGCTCTTGCCTGCAGCGTCTCCTGGTTGGTCTCAGGGCCTGTGCCATGCTCCCTAATACGCACAGGGGTGCCACACAGAGCATGCAAATTATCCGGGTGCGCGGCCCGGCGAGCTTCTTGCTGTAGTGACTCCCATACAGCGGCAGCCTCCTCTGGGCAGTGCAACAGGACTCGGGAGGCACAGATGTGGAAGTCATTCCAAGACCTGTTAAAGGCTTGGGGTTAGGATAATTAGGTGGGGCAAAGAGGTTTTTGTAATGGGAAGGGAAAGGTTCAGGCCCCAGGGTGGTGGTGAGGGGGGTCCCACAGTTAGGTGGCTGTCTTCACACCTGCTCTTACCTGCAGACAGTCTCCAGCTCGCCTCCAAGACCCATGTCGTCCCCCAAGCGGATGAGACAGTCCGCGAAGCCCTGGTATATGGTGTCACAGCCCCCTGGGCCCATTGCAGCTGCTGCCAGGGGAGATGTAAGGACTAGGGGTGGGGGTGGAGAGTGTTTGATAGAACGAGGCGCCCCGCCCCCCTTCATGGCCAAGCCCCCAGGGGCTTGTTTACCTGGGTATGCTCGGGGACGTGACTCAGCGTGAAACAGAGGCACCCCCGGGAACCAATGGGCATGTCTGGGGATCCACCTGCACTGTCTCCCCTCTGGGCACAACCCGGACAGGATATGTGGAGAGCAGTGGGGTGGGGGGAAGAAGGTGTCCTGTCCCAAGGGGTTGGCTCTTTCTCTGAGCTTCTAGGGTGACAGGTCAGGTGAGGATGGTCGAAGTGAAGGAGTCAGGACACAGAGAAGAGGGGCAGGGTCCAGGGCTACGGGCTCCCTTAACTGTCCTGCAGGCCGGACAAGCTTACTTGGTCATCCCACCCCATCCCCAAAGACAGGTGTTCTCAGCCAGGTAGGGCAGGACAGGTGGGGCCGGAATCCAGATCAGACCCTAAGAGAGGGCCTCAGGGGTCCCACAGTTGGTCTAGGGGGTCTCACAAGAGCCTAGGTCTCCCTTTACCAGAATGGGCGATGTGGAATTTTGGGGTCCTTTCCCCTTGACTATGTGTCAGTTCATGCCCATTTTGCATCCTAAAGCCACTGGCACGTATTATCCCCTCCCTAAAGCCCTCACACCTCCTTTCCAGCCTGGTTCCCAGGGTTCAGGAAGGCTGGGCCTCAGCTCTCACACACCCTATACCTAGACTAGGGAGACGGTGTGCCACCCAGCCGCTAAGCTGGGTCCAGCACTCCCGCACTCACCGAGTGGTAGCGATAGCAGCAACAGCCCCAGCACACCGGAAGGTCGGAGCAGTCTCTGGCGGTGCTGACAGGAGCAATAGCTGTGCATCATCCCCGCATCATCCCCGGCTGGGAGCCTAGTGCTGGAGCTAGCAGCTTGGAAGCAGCTTGGAAGCACAGCCCTTCGGCCCAGCCCCCGGAAGAAGGGATTGTGATTGGATGGGAGCCGGGGGCGGGGCCCAAGGCCAGCTGGCAGCCCGCCCCAGTACCCAGATCGGGAGGGAGGGGAGGGACCCCAGGGAGAAAAGCTGGGGACACGGGCAACCGCAGAGCTGACCCCAGGGCCCTTGTCTCAGAGATGGAGAGGGAATCTGGGAAGGTAGCTGTGCAGATGAGGGTGGGTGTCCAGGCACCTGGGTTAGCCTAGACAGAGCTCCACACAGGAAAGAGAGAGGGGAGAGAGAACAGAGGTCCTTATCAAAGGTACACCAAAAGCACACACATACTCCATTTTATTCCAAAAGCATTTAATTGAATTTCTCAATGGTTTTCAAAAACAAAAAGATCCAAATCGGAGGTAAAAAGGAACATGGAAAATTCAACTCAAGTGGTGTCGCAATCTCAGGGGTCATGCTCCAGGCATGGCAGAACCCAAGAAGGCACAATACCCACCCTGGGCCCAGCCTAAACCTGCTGGCTACCACAGCCTATAGACCACAGCCAGTGCTCTCCCCTCAAACACCCCCGAGGTGGGAGCCTGAGCAGGTAAAAGAGTAGACATGACCCTGCTTTTCCCCTAGGCCTGTCTGCTGGCCTTCAGTGCCTCCCCACCCCTGGGCGAGGCAGGCTTAGCTAAGGGAGGCTAGGGGTTACAAGACCGTGCAGCATGAGGCTGAGACGCCGGGCCACTTTGCCAAGTGAGTTGTGTGGCTCAGCCTGCAGGAACTGGAAGAGCTTCTGGCGCACCTGGGCCATGACGGAGCCCATGTGGTCCCGAGTGATGGGGTCACTGTGGTCCAGGTGCATCACAGCCTCTTCCAGGTAGCTGTGGTGGAAGAAAGGGACAGCATAAAGGTGGGCTCCAGCAGATAGGAGCGCCCCCTGGTGGCACTGAGGCCCAGAAGGACTGCTGACAAAAGGGGGTGGGGGGGTCTCAAAGTCGGAGATGGGTGGGGACAGAGGGGATTGGTGGAGAAAATCAGGAAGCAGAGTCAGGCAGGAGTCTCTGCTTGGACTACTCCTCCACCTTCACCCCAGCCTGTCTCCTGATCCCTGAGTCCACTCACCTGAGCTTGAGGTCAGTTCGAGTACCAAGGTCAGAGGCCAGCTGCTGGATGAGGGAAAGGAGCACAGGCTGGGAGAGTGGGCAGGGTGGCTGCCCAAAAACCTGCCCTGGGTCCACAGTTTCACACACATACAGCACCAGGTTCAGGTCAGCAGCTGTCAGGGCCTAGAGAGAGAAGAGTGTTTATAGCTAAGGTCAGAAGGGAATACCTGCTTGTCTGGCCGTGTGGTTCGGGTGAGGATGACCAGAGGAGGGTACTGAGGGCTCCAGAGGGGGGATGCTCAGGGGCCTAGAGACAGTACTAGAGAACCGTGTTGTTACTCTGGGGGATCAGGAAAGGTTTCCTGAGCGGGGTGGTCATGAAGCAAGGTAGGCGGAGGTAGAAATTTCGAAAGGGTCCAGGCAGAGGGGAAAGAAGGGGAAATGGCCTGAAGCCAAAGAGAACAAAGAATATTGTACTGGGGCCAGACCACCCAGAGCCTGGCGGGTAGGGTACGGTGTGTGGGTCCTGTCAGGAGACACCTGACCCTTACCTGGACCTACTGCCTGGCATACCTGCTGGAAGGCCTGATTGAGGTGGCCCTGCTGCAGCAGCTGCAGGATATGGGCTTGCTGGGCCTGGCAGTCAAGGTGGGCAGCGGGGACAGGCGTGCCAGCAGCTGAACGCATGGCCTGCATGATGCTAGACGTCACGGCGGCCTGTTGCTCCTTGAGGGCTACACTCACCTCGCCCTTAACGATGCGCTGTACCTGTGCTAAAATGGATTCCTGCAGACTGCAAAGGGAAGTGAGGGAGATGAGGCAGACAGGAAGTCTGGTCTGGCGCTTTCCAAACCCGGCACCTTGCCCAATACCCTGCCCAATACCACACACCTGCCCACAGCCACGTGCAGCTGGTGCTGCACCTCAGCCCGGACGCTGCTGGACACGGTGGCCGCCATCTGCTCAGTGGCGCCCTGCAGTGTGCTGACCAGGCCCCGCAGCTGGGCTAACACAGGCTCCCGTGCCTCCTGTTCTCGCGCCTTCCGGCTCTTCATGTGGCTCTCCAGCTGCTGCAAGTCTGGGAGGCGACCACAGGGGCCGTGAGGGGAATGGTAGGGGAAGAGAGGGACAGCGCCTCCCACCATGAGGCATATGACCCCACTCACACTCTTGCGTGCCCAGTCGGAAGCTATCATTGATCTGTTGGAACATGGCCTGGCAGCTCTTCTCAAAGGCCGGCAGCACCACACTCTGGAAGGCTTCACGGTAGGCGGCCTGCATTGGCCCCTGTAATGTGTCTGCAGCTGCTCGGGCAATGGCATCTGTCAGGTTCTGGGGGTAGAGGGAGGGCTGAGTTGAAAGGCTAAGCCCAAGTTGGCATGACCAGGCCCACCAACCACCAACCTCCCGTGTCTCGGGCCCTATAGCACCTTGGACTTTAGCAGCTTGGAGATACTCTCTTTCATGCTACCCTCCACGGCTGTGAGCTTGGTGGCCACTGAGCTACTCAGCTGGCCTGTCACTGGCTCCAGGCTCCTGGAGACACCTGCGGCAGGACCGAGAGGAATAGGTGGAGCCACAAAAGGCAGCTTGGCAGACAGGAAGCCCCACTCCCACCTGGCCCATCCAGAAGTCTCCACGCCCAACTCACACGGAGGCACCGTCTTCTTGATCTCATCCCGTAGGCTGCGCTCCAGCCGCCCAGCTACAGCCGAAGACAGTGCCTGGGACAGTTGTTGGGTCAGCTGCTCCTGCAGCTGCCCACCCCGCTGCTGCCCCTCAGCCAGTGCCCGCTCCAGCCGCCGCTCTGCACTGTAGCTAAGGAATAGGCCTGGGGCAGGTCCCACATCCCTTCCTGGGCCAAGAATGCTGCTCCCGTCCCTAACCCTATGCCATGCTGGGCCATGACCCATAAGGATACGCTCCTGCTCATGCCGTGACTCCAGGGCGCGTTCTACGTGGCCTGTGACGGTGCTCTGCAGACCTTCAAGCTGGCTGCAAAGACGCTGCAGCAATTCTTCCTGGCTGTGCCGCAGCTCTGCCAGCTCCCTCTGCTGTTGCCAAATTAGTGCTGGCCAGTCCTCAGGAGCTTCTGCCACCTGCCAAGAGCACCGACAGGCAGGTGATGCCTGCCCCATACATTCCCATGCACCAGACCAGGGAGTGGCCCAGAGCTCTCCCCCACCCTCACAGGGAGGAGTCCCAGAAATAGAAAGGCCGTTACTTCACTTACCTGGTGCTCCATGAGCCGGGATCCCACAGCTGAATCCCTGCCATGGACAAGAAGCACCTCAGGCCATGTCACACAGGGCAGCCGGAGGACCACCCCTCTCCCGGGCCATAGGACCTCACCCCCTACCCGTCATCTTTCTTGCCCTTTCTCTTAAGCTTGGGTGAGGCTCGAGGAGAACCCTTGGTCTTCCAGTCCTTGGCCGGTAGCCGTGGAGGGGGAACTTTGGTGCCAAAGCCCCCTGCAGCAGAGGCAAGGCTAGCCACCTCATCATCATGGTCACTGTAAAAAGGGGAGAGAGAAAAATCAGCACCGACCCATTTGCGGGCCCTCCCTCATGAGACGAACAGTGTAGGGTGACATCCACCTTTGCTCAGCACTGGCGTCCTGGCTGTCATGTTGCTGCAGCAGGTGGTAAGGTGGTCGGTGGAAGGCCAGGCTCTTGTGCTTCTCCTGGAGGCCATTCCTGGGACTGGAGGAACAGGCCAACTCAACAGCGACGACTCTATCTGGAACCCCTCCCACCAGCACACGTTCCTCCCCCAGGGTCCTCACCTCTCCGCTAGGCTGCTACAGGTCTCACGAGTAATGTCTGGTGCCGTAGGCCAGACCTGACTGTCAGGGGCTGTGGCCTCCTGGGTCAATGCTGCCTCCAAAAGGGAAGGGGTACTATGCCGATCCCCATCCCCAGGGCCTCCATCCAGGCCAAGCTGGGAGCCAAGCTCGGGCCCTGGCCGGGGCCGTGGGGACAGCAGGTGGAGCGCTGAGGCAGCTGAGGCCATACTGTCTGGCTCAAGACCCTCAGGAGCAGAGGAGACAAAACCACGGGACAGGGCCTCAGAGGCGATCTCAGGGATGTCCTGGGACAGGGCAGTGGAAGCTGAGGAGATAACATCAGGGGAGCGGGTGCGGCTGGGAGAAGCCTGGGGTAGCCCCAGGGGCTCCACTTCCTGCAGCTCCAGGGACAGTGCAGAGGCAGCAGTAGGCACCTGAGGCAGAGCAGAAATGGGGCTTAGGTGGTAGGGCGTAGGGATGGGGGGCACACATATGAGGCCTGATGTCTGCAGCGAAGGACAGTGGAGAAGGGGGATGCAGGTCAAAACTCCCACAGCCCAGGAGAAGAGGAGGTGGGGATGGATACAGGCTGAGAAGCTGCCCTCCAGGGAACAGGGGAGGCTGGGATGACCTCAGGGAAAGACCTCAGGTGCTGTGGGAGGAAAGTACCACCAAGCTTCCCATTACCACATACCTGCCACCCTGCACTTCATA